ACTTTCTATAATATTGTTGCTGTATGAATATACAATGTAATGAAACGAATTTATATAAACTAGCAGATATATAGTTTCACATGTTGTACATTTTTATGTAAAAATATAACAATTGGATATATAATTGGATGAATATATAGGGAAATTAAAAGTATCGTTTGTCTCTTATTTCACCCCCTCTATCTCTGAGTCTATCTGTCTCTCTCTCTCCTCTCTCTATCTCTCTCTCTCTTTCTCTGTCTCTTTCCTCGTCTCTCTTGTCCCCCCTCATCTTCTCTCTCTCTCTTCTCTCTCTCTCTCTCTCTCTCTCTCCTCTCTGTCTGTCTCTCTCTCTCTCTCTCTACTACCACTATAATAATAATAATTACTATGCGACGTGCGCGCGGCACGCTGTTTATAGATATACTAATTCCATCTGATAGCAGCGTGTTCGCCATAATCGCGCTGCACTCGTGGGACCACGCGGCCGTCCGCAATCCAATCAAAACCGCACAGGGATTCACTGCCCACCGTTGACCGTTACCTCTTCTGCATCTCGGCATCGTAGCATCGCTTCAGGCTGTTGAGTTCGTCCTCCGCTGCTTCGTCGTCGTCGTCGTCATGCCTGTAGTCGGCAGCGGGTCCATGTTTACGGCTCCCCTGTGTTACCTGCGCCGCTCCAATTACTCCGGTTGCCATGTCGACAGCAAGTACCCTCGATCGATTCCTACCCCTGAAGTACTGCCTGTAGTCAAGAATAGACGAACAACAGAATGTTCTAGATCGCCGTGGATCGCATAGATTTCAATTAAAGAAAGGGTAGATGATGATTATGATCTGTTTACCGTGACTACAGGCGGCATACCACGGCACGCCGACTGCGCTGCCAATTTGTAGTAACGCGAGACATACCTGAAACTATAGTCAGTCGCTGACGCTCGCGTTCTCTCTATCGCTCGCTCTCTCTCGTTCGCTCTCCGGGCGAATACTGATGCTTAGCTGCCGGCACACGCAGCATGCAGGCTCCACGTTTGCGTAGCCAATCACGATGTGCCTCACGCCGGGGTGCGTTGTAACGAGGCGTTCCATTGGACGGCGAGCTTCGTCGTAGGTATATTTCGCTACGAAACTTGCGCGCGAGACAGACGATGCTACCGGCGACCCGCGATGACGACGCATTATCCCAGGGATGCTGTGAGCAGACGAAATGGTGGCTGTCGCCGTCACGTGATGGAATAGCTTCCGCAAAAAAGATCGTCGCTCATAAATTACACCGTCGGACGTGAATCTGACGCAATACGAATTTAATGACGCAAGCAAGGTCATGCTACGTCGGGAATACGTAGATAGTCGGCTGACATCCCCGTGCGCGCGACAGCAATGACGCTAAACGTAGGCCAATCATCGCCTCGTTGCTTAAAGGTTACTCTAAACTCTTCGCGTGCAGGTTCAGCGGACGGGTCATCGTGCGACACGAGCGCGTAAACGTCTGCAATTACTTCTAGGAGCGTCGGCGAGCAAACGACAAGAAGAATCTAGCGACGTCGCGTATATTACACAGAAACGATGTCGAGTAAAAGCCAAAGCACGAACAGTCTACCGCCGATAAGAAAGCACGGCTTTTTGGTCAGTTCGGATACGCATCAGTCATCCAATAATTCGATTCGCACGAGCGTCGACCAGCAACAGGCGATCGACTACGTGCTCGTGTACGATGCCAATACGGCGAACATGGAGCTGAGGAGACGCTTCGAGGCCGTGCTCAGACAGGAAGGTCTGCACGTCGAGAAGGAAGTCATCGGCAACCACGTGTTCGTGAAGATCCAATCCGGGTTCGAGAGGATGTGTAAGGAAGCCGAGCGGGTGCGGTTGGAAATGCCGCTGAATGGGGTAAGCAGCACGGGACGTCCGACGTATGCGATTACTTGTTTATTAGTAAAGCCCGGCGCACACGTGAGTAACTTTACTCAAGTGAAATGATGCATGCGTCAAAATACTCACGCGTGCGGCGGATTTTCGTTGAGTATTTTGACGCATGCATCATTTCACTTGAGTAAAATTATTCACGTGTGTGTCGGGCAAGTGCCGACGAGGTACGAGGCTGACTTGTCGGTTGATTGGCTGGTGACGGTTTGTTCATGGTTGCTGACAGGTTGTTGTTGTTTCACCGATCGCTGTTGACTAGTTGTCAATGTTGTATCGATAGCTGTTGACTAGTTGTTAATGTTGTGTCGATGGCTGTTGACTAGTTGTCAATGTTGTGGCGATGGCTGTTGACTAGTTGTCAATGTTGTATCGATAGCTGTTGACTAGTTGTTAATGTTGTGTCGATGGCTGTTGACTAGTTGTCAATGTTGTGGCGATGGCTGGTGACTAGTTGTTAATGTTGTGGCGATGGCTGTTGACTAGTTGTCAATGTTGTATCGATGGCTGGTGACTAGTTGTTAATGTTGTGGCGATGGCTGTTGACTAGTTGTCAATGTTGTGTTGGTGGCTGTTGACAAGTTGCTAATGTTGTGCCGATGGCTGTTGACTAGTTGTTTATGGCTGCTGGCTCTTTAGCGATGATATGTTGATGGTTGTTGACAACGTTTTAATAGTGCTGTTGTTTAAATTGCTGTTGTTAAAATTGCTGTTGTTCTGTTGAATAGCTGATGAAGGTGTGTTTATGATTGCCGACTAATTATTGTTAGTGCGTCGGTTATTTCTGGTAATGGCAGATCGCAACAGGTCTTTGTTCTTGCTTTACATATTATTGATTACGCTTCCGCGTAATACTAATTGAACACTAATTTGTAGTGTTTCTGTTAATGAATGTAGGTTAGTAATTAATCCCTGATCCAAAATCCGTAGCCTACCTTTAGACAAAATAATGAGATGAATTACAGCAATTACTGTGCGTGGTGGTCGTATTTCGAGACTAAATAGTTCCCCCATGTTTTTCCCTACAACTCCCACTACTGCTATTATCGTCGTTATCATGCTAACCGCCATTCCAAAGGTAGAATAAGGCTAAAATAATGAGCTAACTAGTGACTTGGCAGAGTGTTCTCTGCGAAATATAAGGTTAAAACAACAAATTAAAATCCTGTTTTGATATCTAGACTTCGCACAGTGTTCCGCCGCTTCGTTTATAACAGACGAATTATTATCACTAAATTATTACTGTGATTTATTGCAAGAAGCGTTAATGCCTTATATATTCCTGAGGAAGATGAAATAAGATGATGTTTTTTTTAATGAATTTCTCTATCTTGTTGGCAGTGTGAAGTGGCCGATTTAGACAGAAATGCAGCGTGGTCGGTTTTGCAGCCACTAATTCAGAGATTCGTGACGGACGATGAAGGTTTGTATTATACAAAATAACACTATTATATACACTATTATAACACAATATATATCGCGGTTTTCGCGTTTTGGCAGCTAATACATGATTTATTCATCTCAATTCACAAATCTCCGTGTTCGATACTAATGAGTTGCCAGAAAAAATCGACTTCAAATCTGTCCGGCGTGTGCGTGTTGCGATCTACAGTCACGTTAATGATCACAAATAACAAGCCTCCTGTGGGTAGCCTGAGATATATAATGAGCAAGAGTAGCACAACGTATCCATCCACTTCTCTACGAAAGGCAGCACTAGCGCCATCAACATCCAACACCGACAAATTTTAAAACGAGGTCCTTTTTATTATATTTATATTTATTATATTTAAGTTATTTTTTTATTAATATTAAAACGGCAATTTTCCTGTCATTCCGCATCAAATGTAGTAGCTTGTAATTGAAAATAATCATAAAAAACCCAGATTCATACGATAATTTAGACCCCGTATAGACTGCAAATTTGATAACACAATTTGGCTCCACAAATGAAGGAGGGCCAAGTCCGGGATAACTTGGCCCGGACCAAGTTATCCCGCTCCAAGCTGTCTCTGTACGCAATCCGGTGCCTAGCGCGTGCCAAATTTCGCAATGCGCATGTTTATTTAGGTCACATAAAAGTACAGTAGGCCTAGCTGTCTGCGGGGTGACGTAGCGAGCTGAACTGAGCATGCACAGTCAACCCGTGGCTCATTTGATGTGGGATCAAATTTTGTGTCTGTACGCTACGATTTGGTGCGCGCTTGGCGCACGACAGGCCCGTACCAGTTTAATGTGGGATCATTTGGGAATGTGGATCATTGGGATCATGTGGGATCATTGGGTAAATTTTGCAGTCTGTACGGGGTATTAATCTCATACCTCAAAGGAAATTCTCTCTAAAAATTCGGAAATACCACGTAGATATGCTTAATCATGAAGGATCGTATAGTGTGCAGAAATTGAGATACCTATGCGCTATCAAACGTTACGGTAAATAAATTACGAAAAAATACAAACGTAACCGAGTATATATATGATATCACAAGAATTCTCTAGACATATAGCTCTGCATTCATAACGTGGCATTTAATCAAAGGAGTATCTTCTCGGATTCTACCGGAAAGCACTGTGTGTATGGCTTCTGTTACTCACGTAAACAGCATATCTCTCTTATTACATCGCATCCATCGCAATATCACTGAATTCGCGTGCTTCACATTATTACTAAATACGTCAGCAAATCATTTCCTACTACTGAATTTGAAAACAATTGAAAAAGCTCTGCCAACCGTCTCGGACTTGTCCAGGATATATATTTTTTCCCCAGCGTATTCTACGCGACATGTAGACAGGTATAAGGTGATATACGCAACACGTGCTATAGCCCACAGTTAAAGCTGCCTGTCTCCAATATAAGCTTTAACGGAACTAGCAGTGATGGATTCCTCTAGTTATGTATCGCATCATATGCTTGATATTGATATATGTCTATTATTATATGCTTAAATGAAGATTAAACCACTTATTTTAATTGAATGGAATTCAATCACGCGTTAGACTGGTTTAATATCCATAACGTATCGCTACTGTGCATGTTAAAACAACGATTTTAATCGCGATTAAAAGAACCTGAAAATTTATTCTGCTTCAATAGGAATGAATCACGATTGAGATGGATAGGTTACTGCGGCGTTAACTTTCCATAGTTATCACGTAGTTAGTACTATCGACGTATAGTGATATCTAAATTCGAATCTAAACTAGGAATGTCAATGTTAAAGATGGCACACCGTGTATTTAATATGTGAATTTGGACACGTTGCGGACATTATTATTTGCAGTTCATCGTTAGTATGCTGACCCGTCATTGTTATTGTAGTGGACGTTGTGAGTGCGCCTTTCGTCGCAAATAAGCTGTATATCTACAAGGGACACGAAGATAAGAATACGTTCTTCCGCTCAGCGCTGCGGCAGCTGCTGGTAATACATAGTAGAAGCCGTATAAACAACAACGGGTAAAATCCCCACTGTTTATAATATCAGGGACGGATCCAGGATTTTTGAAAGGGGGTGTCCAGGAAGAAATACAGGGCACTTTTTCCTGCTTAATTTTT